GTCACACGATCCCGAGCGGTGGCGGATGTCGGGTCCGCGCGCGGGAATCCACCTCTTTCAGATAAGTTTCAAATTTTAGGACCGTGTCTTCGCCACCTGCTTACCGCGCTCGGCGACTTATCGTCCCCTCTTCCTCCCCCTCCCGCCCCCCACCCGTCGCGGCAGGAATTTATACGACGGACAGTCCTCGCATCCTTGCATTCAATACCACCGGGATTCATTTTCTCCCTCGTCGCCGATTATACGCGGGCAGCCAATCGGAACGCTCACGCTCGAGATCGATTTCCCGACCGCGCGCGGTCGAGATTGCGGTGCGAGGCGGGAAATTCTATACGCGAATGCGGAAATTGGAAACCTCCTTGTTCTACGCGCGCGGTTCGCGAAGATCGGGAGGATCCGTATGGGCTGGCGTGGCGAGAGCGGCCGCTTCGAAATATCGGTATCGAGAGGGGCCATCTGAGAGCCTGGCCTTCTACCTCGGCATCCGGGAACCAAACGAGAAAGCGATAAAAAAGAGAAGGTAAGAAAAAAGGGAAACGAGAAACCCGAGAGAGAGAGAGAGAGAGGGGGGGAGAGAGAGAGAAGCGCGAGTCTCGCGCGGGAGTGAAACGAAGAGGAGTGACTGTCGATTATTCGGTGTCTAAACAAACTAGAGCCGGTCCTGCGGCTCGGCACCGCGCCCCGCGCCGCCCGTCGTTTTAACAAGGACCTCGTTATAATATTTTATTACGTCTCTCGTATATTATAATGCCACGCCGCGAGAGAGGTTTCCTGCGGGCAAAAGGTCGAGGTGGCTTTCGCGCGGTCGTGTGCAGACGTAGAAATTTACTGCTGTGTTTCGTAGAACGAAGGGGTGCGCATCGGAGCTCGTCGTGTGATCGACACGAAACCGCGATTGAAAAACGGTACAATGACTTATCACGTTGTCAGTCGGAGCCGCGCGGCCGCATACATCGACGAGGCTGGCTGTCTCCCGCTTTCGTCGTTTGCTTTTAGCTAGGCTCGGCCGAGCGGGTACGCATGTTTCAAGCATCTCGCGGTCGAACGCAGCGCGAACATGGCGCATGAACTCCGAAGAATGCGACTCCACCCGGCTGGAACGTCTATTAATACCTATTTACGCTAAATTGGTGCAACGCGCCATATTTCCATGCCGATTCCATTAGCCGTTGCAAACTACTGTTTGCGCACGTTTTGCTGCATAATTGCAAATTTGAAGAATTTTTTTAAATTCTTTCCGCGAAATGTAGACGGATAGATTTATTAAAATTGCCCATCAGTTTTATTGAAAAAATGCTTTGATATTGTTTTAAAATATCCGACGAATTTAGAATTAGTTGTAAAATAAAATACATTTATTTTGTTGCATTCTTTTTTAACAGTTATCATTTTTAATAAATAAAATAAAATTATTTGAAATTAAATTTTTAATCATTTCGATATAAAATTGAATTTACCATTTAATATGTTTTACAAAAATATTTTTCAAAATTAAATTACTATGGGAGAAATTCACAACGTTTGTAACAGCTGTAATATTATCATTCCACGCATTCTGTAACAATGATATTACACATGCAGCAACGTTAACGACATTATCTTGACAATTATATCATTTAATTCTACGAACATTTCGTTACGTCATGATTTGCCGAATGCTTGTTTCTGCAATGAGGTCAGCGATGTTATTGTGACAGACGTACAAAGCTACAATAAACGGCACGGCCGGTTGCAAGCGTGCAATTTCGTGTGCAGCTATAAATCTGTATCTTTAATTACAACGCATCATTTACGTGATTTAAAACGTTCAACGATCGCGCCTCTGATGGCGCTCGTGTTGTAATAAATTATTGAAGTGGAAACATAAGCCGTCATTATGGTCGCTCGTGATTTTCGCGATATTTTATTCAATTCTCATATTATGTTATCGGCTAAAACGTTTTGAAACTATAATTATTACGCTCTTAACGGCGAAATATTCGCACAGATTTTTTCGCCATTATTTCAATTCATATCTTTTGAATTTATTCAGCTCGACTGAATACATCTTACAAATCGTAACCGTCTATCTGTCGCGTTTATCCAACCTTGCTCGCGGTGAAAACGTTCACATGTTCCCCGCGTGTAGCCGACACATGTCGTCGATGACTTCGACGTGTGCGAAACGTACTCGAAACGTCGATCGAGAAATGAGTGTGCGACGAAACGCGCAATCCCACGCGCGAACGCACTTCCCTCGAGGGCGGTCCTGAGCGAGTTCAGGTGTCGCAAGATCCCCCCCGCGTCATCCTATATCCCTTCGTCAGGGTGCCTCAACGACGAGGAGGCAACGAGGCGAGTGCTTTTCGCGCTCCAACGACCCGAAAACGAATTATCCTTCGTGGAAGTTATCGAGGAAATATTGAAAAGTTCTGCCGTCGCTACCGCGTCGCCGTCGAGTGGCTTCTATTCGTTTCCGGTGCAGCGATTCGTGCGCGCCGGGCTGAGCAGCGATTTCTGGTTAACGAACAAAATTCGACGAGAGCGTGCGGTGGCAATAAAAAGAGGAAAAAAGAGCGTGAGAATGGAACAGCATAGATCAGGCACGATAACTGGCAGTGTAAGATTACGCTCGAAGAATTGAGCGCGGGGTTTACTATATTTTTATAAGTCTATGTTCAAGGCGAATTATAAAATATAAAACTCTATTACTTGCACATTTAATTGCGCGCATATTTATTCAACGATGTGCTTCCGCGTCAATTATATTTGTAGATCAAGTCTTTCGCGTCGCAGCGTTTTCATTAATGCTAGCATCGATAAATGCCAACACTTGTATATGTGTCTTTGATATATTTGTCGCAGAAACTGTAACAATTGTTCCATCGTGAAACATCCGTCGATATCTATACTTAGAAATATAAGAGTTGAAGGCTAACGAGCAAGTTCACTGATAAATCGATACTTTGTATCCGCGATGGAATCCATAAAAATAGAAATCGCGCTTCTTGACGAGATCCGCTCTGTGCTGAAGCGAGACGGAAACGGGAGATTTATGTCCTGCTTACGAAGCGGCATATTTTTCTTTCAGGTATATTTTGTTGTTAGAAAAGATATCGTTTACAACCGTGGCTAATTGTTAGAACTTTTTTAAGCAACCTAGGATGGTCTGGGAACAATCTCGCATTCATGTCTTGCGGCTATTGACATCTGATGATTATGCGTGACAACGCCCCATTATGCTTCAATTACGGTGCGTAGCTAATGAAACAATTGTGCGACTGGTCGTAGAGATTATTCATCGTGTAGCTTAGACTTCAGCGCGGTATTAAGAGCCGTTGACATCCGATTATTCATCGTCTGATACTCGATTGCAACGCTAATGCATTAACTGCTGTAATGCAAAGTGGATTTGGCAGGTGAACGGCGGCTTCGATTTCCGATATAACGTAGGCGTTTGCAAAAAAGAATTGATTTTTTGTTTCCGCTATTACCTCATCATAATAACCTCGTTGGTCGCATCACGCGCTCGAATTAAATCTACTATCGATAGTGCGCCGTTAACAATCTTATCTGATAATTGCGCGCGCTACATCGAGAATAACCACAAAGTGGAAAAGGATGGCTTTAAAAGGGAGTTCCGATACGAGATATGCGTGACGGCCAATTTTCCTGTTCTCGGTTCGTTCCTAACCGGATTTATTCTCGAAATTACACCGGTTTCATACCTGAAGTTATTACCGAGCAGTGGAAGAACATGAAACGGATGAAGTGCGAGGTTTTGCTTTCGTTCAACGAATATGATTAACACGTAGCCTCGAGAGAAATTAATGTCATTATGTGATTGAAATGAAATGTAGCTCTCTGAATATATAGTTGTTACGTAGTTAATGCAGCTCGTTGAAGAATAACATTGTCGTGCGGATTGATGAACCTTTATTAAACCCTATTTATGCCACGTTATTTTTACGATGGAATTATGCGCTACAGAAAATTAAATGACTTGATTGCTTATTTGCATAAGGTTCTTTTCTTACTGTACGAAATATGAATCATATTTTTTAAGCGTTATTTTATAGAAAATATAAAACGCATGAAAATATTTAGTGGCAAATGTTGTTAATTTGGCACACTATGCAAAGTCTCGCAAAATATCGGAGACGGAAGCTTCGAAAAGCAATCCAGATTCAACGTCTAAAATTAACGTACCACAACAAACCAGCATAAATATTGACGCAGCGATCGCAATGATCTAAAGCATTAACTTTTTGTTTCGCGTATGTTTGTATTATAGTTGTACGGTGATCTTAAAAGTTCGAAATTATTTTATAAAATAAATGTGTTATTCGACGAAGAAATATTAATGTATTTGCAAAAAATGAGCAAAGTACAGAAATCGCTTGCTTCGAATTTAAGAAAATGTGTGCTAACAAAATGTCAAAATTATTAACGATGTCAATTCTTACGGCACTTGAGAGCATATCAAACTACGTCTTACTGCTCAGTACGAGACAGTAGTGCGACTGTCTTTTTTCGCTTTTTCGTAAGATACTACTATCTTGCACGAGGACGAGATAACTTTGAAGTTACGCGTTAAAAGAAACTGCAAGCGGGCAAATATATCGAGGCGAGACTTTTATTTGTCACATATATGATACAGTAATGCTTCAATTTATATATTTTCGTGCCATATTTATTCCTTAACTTGCAAACTGAGAGAGATATCTGAAATCTTACTTTCCGCCAAACATCCAGCAATAAAACAGCTCAATTTTCAAAAATATTATTTTGCAAATTTTGTATCAATTATGCCCGTAGCAGATTGTATTATAAAAGATATCAGAAGCAGAGATTATGTATTACTCTTTTATTTAGAAACATTACTGCGCTAATGGATCTTCGCCAAACAATGTAAAACAAAATACCGGCGAAACGGCCAAGCAAACAACGGCTTTCTCACCACATGTTTGCTTCTCCGCGAGCTTATAAATATTAGAAAAATTAAAACGAGGCTCGCTTACCCATTAGCTTGCGGACTTCCGTCTGGCTGAGGAAGAGATTGAAAGATTTGTTATTCGTGGCCAACGCGACGCCGAACAGCAGCAATATCGGTAGTTGCCGGATCATCGTGGCCGCCACGTGACGTTTACTCGTGTATATTTACGCCCGCCGGAACACCCGCACAACACACGCTACGCGCCGTTCATATTTCGCGGGATGCAAATCGCCGATGCGACGGGAGGGACGGGTGTGCACGTGACACGCCGCGCCGATAAACGCGGCCTTTTTTTCGGAGCGTGCGATTCCGCGCGAAAACACACCGGTGGCTCTTTTTTGACAGCTCGCGCGACACGCGTGTTACACGACGCGGGGACACTCCCACACGAGAAACGCGCGTTCCAGGCCGTCTCGGTGTCCCGATGCGCTTCGACGCGTATCGAGCGACGCACATACGACGTAATCGGCGGGATGCAACGACGCGAAATGGTGCGAGAACGGAGCGGAGCTCTCATGGAGAGCGCGCGGCGTGCCTGCCTCGTGAAAGCCACAACCAGTTGTGTGCTACCATCGCCATGGGTCGTCTGGGGTCGGCGCAGGTCTGCCGACCGAGGATAGCCGAGCGCGGCCGAGCTCGGCCGAGAATCCACCTACGAGGGAACCCAACGATGGTCGTGGTCGTGGGTCCACGACCAAGAGATCGAACGGCCGCACTCGAACGAGACCGGAATTGAATTTAAAATGCACTGACGGGGCAATATTGCGCGAGCGCAGGACGAAGAGAGTTTGCTGGACTGCGGCCCTCCCATTGTTTACACTTGAATTAATTTGCAGTGTCCAGCCGATGAGTGTGCGAACACATATTGCGTACTCGAAGGAAACGATTAACTTGGCGCGATACAAAATTATTCTTAAAATTTTGACTAACGACGATATTATTTATATTAATTTGTTACACTGAAGATGGCCACGTCTTTTAGGCCGAAACGTCTGTATTTGTAATTATTTTGTAATAAATGGAAGATTTGAGCAATTATAACTAGCTCCTGCTCTATCAGCTTGTTGTTTCAAGATTATTATTTTAATAAGAAAAAGAGCTATATATTTATACTATTGTATTCTTAAAATAATAATTTTGATTGTCGATTGTCAATCATCCGTCAATCGTAATTTTCAGAATGGCAAAGCTTAAAATATGCTCCAAATTTTATGCATCTTAAGATTTAACGAGCCTGCGCTATATATGATGATGTGATATTCGATGAAAAAGCATAATGGGTTAAAAAAATTCTATTATGATGAAGATACTTTTTTCTTTTGGGACAAAGTAATACACGTATGCGCATGAATACGATGCAAGTAAAACGGATAATGTTAAAATCAATTAGAATCAATTTTGAAAGATGTTTAATTGAGGCAACAGTCTGCAGTATAAATGAAGAATAATACGGTCAATCGATATGCCTGACGTCAATTCGTGACATTTGCCTTCGGTTATGGTCATTCGGCTCCGTAACGCCAGTGTTGCTAACCGTACAAAATTGAAAGCGTAACGGCATTCTCGCAAGCAATAAATTTCAGGTCCTTTATTCACGGTACTTCGGTAACAGGTTGCACACTCCGGCACGTTACCCGAAGCTAAAAGTCGCGCCTCATTCTGGAGACCATTTTTACTTTTTATTTTTCACCGCGAGAGGCGTGTAACACCTTACCATCCAATTAACCGGTGCCAATCGGTAAAGAAAACAAAGTGCAGCTTTTATCTTTTTATTTTCCCTGCAAAGCGCTTTATACGGATTTAATCCTCTCAGAGAGATTCGTACAAATGTTTCACAGCCAATCGGTTGTTTTAAATGTTATATTTCAACGTTGTTTATCTGTAAACGCTTTATATTTTTTTTTATCAAAAAAAAGCATTAGAGATATGTATGTACATCGAAGATTAATTAAAGAGTAGTACAACTGCGATTTTATAAAGCGGAAGCGAATGCGTAATAATTTTATTTCACGCTTTATAAGAGAAACAAGTGGATTGATCTTTAAAAATTGCGTTGTCTCGTTACAATTTAATATACATAATTAAAATCGCATCTCCATATATTAAACCTCCCTGCGCAGAATTCATCGTGCGGAAATCAAAATTATAAATCACGTACTCTGGAGTGTAATCAGTAAACGTTTGGTATATTAAATTGTTGACGATGTATTGCGCGCTCGATCGCACTTTGTGATGTTTTCCTTCTTCGGGCATTACCGGAGGGCGTGGCTTGTATTATATCGAAGGGTTGAGCGTGTATCTGTCGCGACATGGAATACGAGGTGCTCTCGAATTTCATCCTGCGGAGGAATCGGGGGCAATTGGAATATCCATCGTGCATTTGCATAATTCAGGATCGACGATGGGGATAGAACGCCCACGTAGCCGCGTCGAATCACGATCGTCTTACGGGTCCACCTCTTTCTTTTTCCTTGTTTACCAGGACGTGCTTGATTACCGAACGCCGTTATTACTGACGATGCGCGAGCGGGAAGTACGAGGGTGGCGGAAGAGAGACGGGAGGCGGGCGGTAGGACTCGTTTTGCAAATTCGCGGTTGATTGAAAAGCTCGTGCGGCATAAAAACGGGCGAGTAACTGCGGCGATAAAAAAAAAACAGGCCGGGTGATTACTCTCTTAACATGGGCCAGGGAGCATGGGATTATGTTCGTTAACTAAAGCTCGATCTGCGTGGCCGACGACTCGATCTGCGTCGGGCGGCGAATTCGTACGATACATTGTCGTGCGTCTTCCTTTTTCGGTTCACGTTTCGTCCGCGCGGTTATTAACTTAATCTCGGTGATTATACAGTTACATGAGTTATCATTTAATATTTTATCGTCGGCGCAACTCGTTTGCTCATCGTTCCGATATCATAACATCGATACTGTGTGTACGCTGCGAAAAGAAAAGATATTAATATAAAGTTTATGAACATAGCGAAAGTAGATCTACACGATCATCAAATTAGTTGATGATTTTTCATTTTTTACATCGAACAAATTGCAGAGAGTGACTCGCCGTTATTGTGAACAGCTAATTTCCTACGTTTGATTCCAACACAAGGTTTAATTTCGATCACACGAAACTTGTTTTCGCGAGAAAATCGTTGCCTGAGAAATTTATGTCATTTTTGCAAAACTCTTCGTCGATATGAAATAGAATACAAAATCCAAACTCTTTCTACACTGAAATTATCGCCAAAAAAAAAGAGCAAACTATAATAATCTTTGCTGTTTGCGAGCGATGTTTGAATTACTATCAGCTTGCGGTAGTCGGCACGTGAGTACAATGTACAGTGTGTCTGAAGCGGCACAACTGATATCATAAACAAGACACCGCAGTGCGCGGCATGAAGCGCGGTTTAATCTACTGCAAATATAGGGCGCTTCACTTAAATCAAGGCAATGTCAAGAAGAGAGAACGGACCCCTTTGTCGGGTCTAATCTGTACAAATAGTCGTATATCTAGCAGTCGTCGACCAAGCTCACGGTTTATCCGAATTTATCCTGGTAGCAGCTTCTGGAAAATGTCGGGACAAGATTCTATTATACTCTCGCCGCCTCCTTATATATTTTTTTTTATTTGAAATTTAAATTGTAAATTTAATTGAACGTTCGCTTGAATTTAATGAAAAGTCCGTCTGTGTGCAAAATAATCGTAAATTATGTTCAAAATTTACAATTATTGTCGGAGAATATTTATTCAAAAGCAGAGGACTTTGATTCAGCGACATAATTAACAAATAAATTCATTCTATTCACCGAATTAATTTACGATGTCTCATTTTAATATATTTCCGTATACAAGAACATTTATTTTCTCCCGAGAATTTCTGACACAACCGTCATAATAGTACATCATTACGGAAACGTGATTATGCATTTTACAAGGAACGGCTTTTAGTGGAAATGAGGTAGCGCACTTTTGAATGGCGGCTTTTACGCTACGCCGTGTGCACGCGCGCGTACATAGCAGAAGAAGGTCTCATCTATATCCGCCGAAAGAGAGACCCGGTGCATTATCGCGCGGCTTCCGCTTTACAAGATTTTCTTTGCGCCGATCGCGGCGCGGCCTCCAATTAACGCTTTCCGCGACGCTCAAAAGACCCGGCGTAGCGCTTGAAAATGTATTAAAGCGCTCGCGCGCGCGCGCGCACGCGTCGTTTGCCACCGCCTTTTACAACATTTGCAGACACCACAATGTATGCTCGCCGCGGATGCAGCTCTCCGCACGATCGCCGTTCTTTATTCAGTCCATATTTTTCGCAAACGCTTGTCGACGCAGGCACCCGCTGCAAATATCGAAGAGCAAAAGTTTCGCGTGCGCGATAAAGGCAAAAGCGTCTCTATACGCGCGCGATGTGCTTTTCAATTTCTTTGTCGTTACACTCGGTGTATTGTGACGTGACATGTTTTCGACGGGACATCCGATATTCAGCGGAATTTTGCGCGAGAGGTACGGAACGCCTCTATTTGTACGCTCTCGGGATGGAATACCGCGATAAACATCATCCCGGCGCGGAATAGCGAAACGCTCCGCGGGATGGGATGTGTATCGGATTCAGTTTTTCAGCCGGGGAATCGATCAGCTTGAACCCATCTGACCTCGCGAGGACGTAAAGGGTTGAAAGTGGAAGAAGCTGCGGTAGGAAGGGAGGCGGGAGGGCGTGAGTCTGAAAATAAGAAGATACAGATAAAAGAGCTGGCTGCACGTTGGCCTAACAAGACTCAGGACTCGGGGGCTATTATCATAATTGTGGGCTGCAGGCAGCGGCTGTGCCCACAAACCAGAATGCCTCTTGTCTCATCTACCTTCGTCGTCTTCTTCTTCTTCTTCTTCTTCTTCGCCTCCTTCTTCTCGTCCTTCTTCTCCCCCTCCCCCGCCCCCGTCCTCGCCGCCGAGACCGTTTCTTTTTCGCGGCTTTTTACTTAAAGCCTCACTCTCTTGCGCCTCGCGCGTCCCTTACCGGGTCTTTTACACGCGCTGGAGACAAATGGAGTGGCCTTCGCATTCAGCCTCCGCGTTCCATATTTCCATCTAAATTAAGAAAACGATGAATAATCCACACAAGGCGACCCGATGCGAAGCCGCACAAAGGAATCTTCTGCGATGCGAAACGGGTCGTGTGAAGTAATGCCTTTCATCCATGATATTTCCATTCCATTATACGTGATTAATGAATACTGCATATTTAGTATAACACAAGCAGCGCATCTGCAAATGATAAAGATAACACACAACTCTCTGCCGGAAATGAAGCTTTTGCGCAGCGATATTTCGAAATGACAAGCAACATAGTGATGATATGAGAAACGAGTAACTAATTATGCAGCTAATGACATGGGATGCACTATTTAGGTAAAATTACAGTCGGCTGGATGCCTTCCGAACATTCGTTATTAAATCCGGCAACATATGATGTGGGTCCTTCGACGCGGACCACCCTGAACCGAGTGAAACGCAAACAACCGTGTTTCTCCCGCTCCTCAAAACGAGGCTACGCGGAACATCTTGTTTGCCCTTTTCTAATTTTGGTATTAATCGTGAAGAAGCAGAACCGAAGAGAATATTTTGAAAGAAATTTAAAAAAGCGCATCGTAGAGATGTCGCGCGTATATTAAATATGCTTTTTTTAAAATTTATTATTATCTTTTATACTGCCATTTATTATATCGAAATAGCACAATATTACAAGTATAGTAAACATTTTTTAACGTATTAATTAAATACACTCAGAGTTTTGTAGGACGTCGATATTCATTTCTTTATTACGTAACGATCCAATTAACGTTTGTTCACTCCAATTATTAGAGAGTGCCTCTACTTGCATTTCCATCATTTATAACTACAAATTTATGAAGGGATTATGTATCAAATATTAAAATGTAAAGACTTGTTATTATATATAATAATTGGACTTTAAATTAATATTTTTGATTTCTTGCTTGGTGAATTTAATTAAATTTATTTTATCAATTTTAATATTAATTAAAAATGTCATTTCTTGCTCTTATTATTATTTAATAATGTCCGTAGAACTATCTCATACATCGTATAATCCAGTGTGCTCCTTCCCCTTCTAAGAGGCAAATTAGAATTAACGTTTCATTAAAGTTCTTAATGAGAATTCAAGATGTCGCGGAGCGTATTATGCGATTCTTCGAAACAACCGCGGAAAAGTTTTCGCCCGCTGTATAAATATAAATGCAATCGTGCCGTAACAAGATTCACGCTCTCGAATCTTCTCTTTTTCCAGCGGGGAGCGCGAAGCCGAACGGGTTTACAAGCAGGTGCAATAGGATATTCGTTTTCCTGTAAATTATGCGAAATAAGCAAACACACTACATCCTCAAATTGTTGCACGTTGTGTCGAGAGAGCGTTTTTTTTCCCATTTGTTTCCCGTGCACTCTTTCAGCGAGAGATGCCAGGGGCGTGTATGTTTGTTTAGCTTCGGTGTACCCTGTTATTAGGGACCGCTGCCCGTGCCCCTCGACAACCGTGGGGCCCACGCCGAGATTTTGGGCGCCGCGAGCCCGATCATGCATCCCCTTCCACCCTCCGTCGCTCCCCACCTATCTTACTTCATTTCGTGCGTAAAAGAAGTTCTCCGGAGAAAAAGAACGGCGAGATAAATTCGGAGGGGGAGGAAGGGGGGGTCCCCCCGATTCGCAGCGGGCTCTTTGCCTTTATCTAGATCCTGATTTAGATTCCACCGCGTTTTAATTTATTGCAACCGATAGCGACGATTATACGGAAACGACTATCCGGTTGGGAAGAATACGCCAACTTGCGGCCCGTGCAAAAAAAAAAAAGAAAGATGACGTGACGAAGTAAAGGAGTTAAAAACAAAGTTTAAATACAATTTGGAAATTTAACCACAGATATTCATTAAGAAAGCAACAAATTTCTTTTTAGCAGTTGAATTATTGAAGGCTTTTCAACTCCAAATTTTACCAGAACACGTAATTAAGTATAAATATTTATTAATGTTCTCCACTTTTTATTTTACAGAGTTCGCTTCCGAGAGTCGCATTTGTAATATTATTATTCGTATGCGTCTCGTTAATATCGTGCTTCTGTCACAATTTATATGATACGCATTCACGTGTACGATTTGCATTCATCGGGAATGAGAAGGAAATTCATGTGTTTGGTCGTTTTTGTGGGGCGATTCGTGGGATCGCGCGACTCCTCTTTCTCTCGATGCACAATGCATCCCTGATGACATATCCTGTAGGTCCGCAATTGAATACTGTCTCTTTGCGCGGATGGCACGTGACAAAGACCCGAAGGCGCGTCTCGCACGCGACCACACCCCGTCGCCGTTATTTGTTTAATTTAAGGGTATTGTTGCGCGCGGTGTTTTCGTCGGCCGCCGCGATTTATTTCGGCCACGCTCGTTTCCTGCATTTTTAACGTGGGAGACAACGCCGTGTGCAATCGGACCGACCGGTCAAAGGTATCCGGGCGTTATTTGACTTCGGCTCACAGCCGCGGACAGCGCAGAATCGTTTGCGGGGCTCTCGCGATCGGTTATTGCCCCGGAACTCTTATTGCCATATTGATGAAACTTTTCACGTAACCATTTATTAGCATCTCCTCTGCACAACGATAAATAACGCTGTACGCATGTATTATGCATGTAATATTACAAAACGAACGTTGACTCGCGCGTAAATTATCGTTTCGCAGATAACTTAATGGCCAGTTAAATATTTCGCGTATCATTTTTGCATAATTGGATTTTCATAACTGGTTCGAGAGGATTTTTTTATCAATCGATACTGAGATCGCGGTCTCAACGTTGCGCTTGGACGCGCAATGCGCAATCTTACAACGGGAACTGGTACTTGCTGCTAGAAATACTCTTCAAACACTGTTCAATAGCCTACTAAAGATAAATTCCTGCGTATAGAGGGCCCTCGATGGGCCTCAAGGCCCAAAGGTCCGATAATATCCAGAGAGTACATGACATAACCGATTGTCGATGAGTAAGTTTATGTACAACTGCGATCGTGTCGTAAACTTTATGACAAATTATTTATTTTGTCCTTATAATATTAACACAAACTTTTTTACGTCGACGCTGTAAACTTATAAATTAAAAATTATAAAATATTTATAAAACAATATATTAAAAATATGTTGCCCGGAATTTATGGATTACGCATTGTTCATCAGCATAGAACTACGTTAGATATAATTTGTTTATCTAATTTGTGCTTAAATATAAAATATTGCAGGCTAAGTGTAAATGTTCGAACTTGTTCACCGTTTAATAAATAAACATTTATCAATTTATTCATAAAATTTATGATATATTTAAGAGTTATTACACGTAATTTATTGTTTTGTCTGTTTTAGTCTCAGCCGTCATATTTTCAACAAATATAGAAATAAGTAAACATAACACATTATTATTCAGATTAACAAATCTAATTACATATAAAAGCTAACACAAAATATAAATATAGCTAAATTATAAATAAATGTTAAAATATAAATGTATGTATTGTACATATAAATGTACACACACATGCATTTTTTTATTATAATTTATAATAAAATTTTGAATCTTCTCCAATTTTATAGTACAAAATAATGTATTCAATTCGTTTTATATTTTTGCAGTAAAATCACAGTCACAAGAAACTACAACTTTAAACATTGCAACTACGCAGTGTTTTAACTTCAAGTACAATAAATGTCCACATCAATCACATTAAGCATTCATTGGTTGTAAAATTATAATGCCTGCATAATTATGATCAAAGCTGGCATTCATGTCGCCGTTGGCTATAAATATTCTAATTCACAATTCAAGGAGTCGTTCATAAAGCTTATAGATATTTTAACAAACTTATTTTTCACCGAGTATTTCCGTTGAGATGATCGTTCTAATACGAAGCCGGGCAATTCTTTTGATCTGTACGAATAAAGTACGCTCTGCTGATATTATTCTTATCAATAACTTGATAAGACTTCTCTAAAACTGCAACGGGCGGTCTTGGTTCTCGTGTCAATATCCAAACGTTTCGTACGCTGCAAAAACACATTACAACTTTAATAATTTGAAACAATTTAATTTAATATATGTATTTTTAGAATATATTTTCTCTATTGTGGTATTTAAGTTCTCTTATTTATTTAAAACGCAAATATATGAAATGATATGTTTGATATTAATTAAAAAAGTTCGCATTAAGGCTCTGCAGGCTCTCAAAAATACTAGCTTACGAGATTACACTGATAATTTTCTTCTTTTCCATCGTAAATAAACTTACTTAAATACTCCGAGGTTTGTACAGCTCCATACCACGGCGTACGTCTTGTAGTCTGAATCGAGTATCCAATAAGGTGCATCGAACGGCAGTGGCAATGATGGAAAAGTGACGGACAATTTAGGGTCATCAGATTTGCTGATTAACCTTCCGATGCCCTCGATACTCGCTGCAACTCCAGTTCTAAGCGTGGAAACAAAGGTTTACTCCAAGTGGATAATTGCTAGTCACAATGACACAAATTTATTCCGCTTCGCTGCCTCTCGCCATCAATGACGAAACATTACTTTACAAACGTCGCGCCGTTGTCGATCGTACTTACAGTAAAGAAATTTGGGTGTTGACGATCTTCACCGAGTCATTCTCGCCCAGGCTGTAATTAGCTGTCACGCATCTTCCGCCAAATTCGAACCACGCGAAATACCTCTCGACTTCGTACCATTTGCCCAAATACTGAAAAGAGATGTTTATGATTACGTCTACGTCTTGACTGAAATATGCCCCGATTAATTAATAATGCTGGAATTTTTAAACTGCACATATTGATTTTTTTTATAAAACGTATCGCCAAATCCGAGTCATTTTTAAAGAGAACAATTAATATGTATTAGAGACAACGTATTTTGGTCATCGTTGCATAATTGAAATTTACATGATTTCAAATACAAATTTAGCTTTTCAGAGTGCGCTTTTCACGTATCATTTCGATAATTGTCTCAATACTCACTTTATCAAGCTCGAAATTTTGCATTGTTTCCAAATTTGGACACGCACCCAAAAACGGCACCTGCGCCATTGCTGCATTTGCAATGATAACGATCAACAATATTCGCAACATGTTTCTTTCTGAAAAAAAGCACAAAATTACTGACACGTGACATGCAGGGGGTAAACAAAATAATGGAAACTGCTTATTAGTGGTGTAATTTTTTAATGCGGTTGGTCATCGTGGAATTGTTCACATTGCGACCTTGTTTTGTTTTCGCTATGTAGTGCGTGCTCTCTTCAACTGTTAGCCGATATCAGTTAATCTGTGGATGTCGCGCTGTTGTGTTGATGATGCATGTTGTTCTTCATTTAATAAGTGTTTCCATTATTTTATTTCACTTCCTGTACATGAAGCTTACAAGTTTTTAAGTTTTGCGATACAATTTATTGTCACTTGATGAAGTACACTTGAAAATACGTAAATTTGTTACAATTTTAAATCAAATTTACGACATGCGAAAATATAATATGTTTATATATACTTGCCGATAATCGCAGATAATTCTTCCGTTAAATAATTACAGTTATGATGACGCAAGTCAAATTAGTGACGTTTTCCTTGAAGAATTTTACTCTTTTGCTTTAAAAGTTGATTTGACTTGAAACTTCTTTCGAAAATATTTGCTTTTTATATTTTCAATGTATGTGCGCGTTTGCGGCGAATGAAGAGAAACAAACGCGCGCTCTTTTATATTACGTTATCGCGTGCTTAGCGTACGCGCGTTTCTAAACTAATGATGCTACAGTGCAGTACATGACACACTTCAAGACACTTATGAATTGCAATATTTAACTCCTTGGATTAGTTTTTATCATTTATACTGCGTAAGCTCGTGTGTTGTAATCTATATACAAGATTATATAAACAACTAGCGCGTACTAAGAGCGAAGCAATATATCATTTCAAGTACTGTTTTCTTATTTTGTCTTGCAAGATATCGCGCAGGTAATTTAAATTTCTAATGAGATACTTTTTACACGATGATATTAGCTTCGAGTCAACTAGGTGTACAAAAATCCTGCACATGAATTGTTAATGCTTGACCGACCCGATTTCTAAGTTTTCTGCTTCTTTCATTTATTCTTTCGAGAAGCTATTTGCGCTGAAAAATAAAGTAGCTCGGCGGACAATTTATTTGCTGAAAAACTCGGTTAAACTCGAAAGAGAAACGATTGGTCGAAAGGTCGGACGTAATATCGGCGATGCAATTTAATTCGATCTAAATGCGGCACTCACCTGATGACCTTGACCGTCCAGGAAAGAGATACGTGTCGAATATCAATTCGCGCGATTGACAAGGATTGACGTCGACACTTCTCACGCGATGAACTGTTCGCAGATGACTGCCGCTTCCTACTTCTCGATCCGTGCCCGCGGAGATCGACCCGTGAAGGTTGACTGGATGCATTTGGCAGACTTCTGTCAGTTAGTGGGTCAATAACGGTACGCCCGGGGTTCAAGAAACCCGGCTCGAATTTGCCATTGACCAATAGATGATCGACGATTTTGACACACGGCTCATTTCGTTGATCGAGTGCGATGGACTACTTTCGCACACGCTTAATTGTGTTTATGTGAATCTCGCGGCAGTCTATCGCGTAATTGATGCGACGCGCGTCTGAAAAAATATTTGTAAAGAGATAAATTGTAAATTGCGCATTTGAATCATAATCAATACTTGTGCATACTTTATATCGATTATTTGCGATAAAACTTGAAATGTTTCAAATATCAATCATCTTAAAGTCTATGAATTGCTAATACGCGTACAGATTGTCGAATTCATTAATTTTGTAACTTTTTTTAAACAAAAAATATTCAAAATAATTAAGATGAGTTTATCTTCTACTTTAAGAAATAATTTTTAAAACTATTTTCTTATATTATATTTTAAAAAATTCAAGTTTTCTATTTTTAATTTCCATGTTTTTTAATTTTTATACATATATGTTTGCTATTTCCAATAACCATTATCTTGCGTAATTAAAATGTGCAAATTTTATGTAAAATTATTCGATAACGTTGATCATTCATTTAATTCATTCATTTAATTTCGTTGATCATTCATTTAATTTGGTCAATTGATTCCTGTAATTTTATCTGTATTTAAATTTAACATACTCGCTATTACTAATATTTAATCAACACATCAATTTGCTTAAGTAATGATTCTGGGTGGACATTATTATTATCGAAGCAGAAGATTGAAATATGGATAATATAAGAAAAATAGACCCGTTACGTGACCCGCTTATATTTGTTTACGATGGAAGATGCCATGACATATTTAGCTTTTACTGGTATCACACTGACATGCGGATGTCGAAAAGACTTTCCAAGAGTCCGAGAAAACATATTTTCTCTCATATAATATACTCGCACGTCCTACTAATTGTCACAATGAATTATTAGGTCTAGAAATCTTTTGCGGAAGATTACATTTATAATGAAGTTATGCATGCCGTTAATTACATATTGTTGTGCGCTAATCAAGTATAATTATATGCATTAATTTACATTAATTATATATCATGCTGCAAATGTTCAGTGATTTGATAATTGAAATTTAATCGACGCCGCTGTATTATTCACGCCTTATTAAATTCGCGCAGCGAGGAAGAGGGCTAATAAAAAAAAAACAAGCAGGTTTTATTTTCAAACATTTTTTATAACAATTTTTATTTCTTCATTTTATTTTATTTTTTTTACATTTGTACGTAAGCCTATAAAACAAAGCGCCGTGCCAACCCCAAAAGTCCTCCAAGCGACGATGATGTGTTTGCGGGACAATGAATAATGACTTTTACGGTACTTAAGCGAGACTGGTTTTCAACCGCTGTGAAAACCGCTACGAGCCTAAAACGTCCGAGAAATCCCCGCGGTTTCTATCGATGATAATTATGCTTCCAGCTAGCGCCAACTGACAGACCCTCCAACGATATCCCTAAACAGTCGAGTACTTTTCCGAAATAGTCTCTTTTACATTCACGATTTTCTCCTCCTTCGCGCTTTCCGCGACGTTCTCCTCCTTGATCTCGGCAATGATCGTTTTATCCGCGTCGCCGCTTTCCTCCTTTATCACTTCGGCTATCTTCAGAATCCGCTCCGGGACGGTCTCCACCTTCTCGAGCTTCGCCGTTTCCTCCACTATTATCTTGGGAATGTCGGACGGTGCGACATTCTGGTCCGGAGTTTGGGCTTCCGGTTTTTCCTTCAATTCAACTTCGGCTTCCGGATTGACGGCCGATCTCAAGCCCTCGTCCGATTTGGTCGCCTGCGGTTTCGGCTTCGGCTTCGACTTCTGCTGGGTGGACTGCACCGGAATTTCCAAACAATCCGCCTGATCGGTCCTCACGAAGAACGTCTTCGATATCTTGTATTTGTCAAGCACGCCATAAGCCTACAATCGGAATAAAAATTAATAACTGTGAAATAAAATTACAGCCCACGCTTTTATGTCGTGTAATTACTAAGAAGTTAGTTTCTATTGATGATAATTTCAGCGAATGTATTGCACAGACAATTTTGAAATAATAATTCTATAACATACTCTTTATGCACGTTTATGTTATAGCATTAATAATTTCAAAACGGTATGTTTTGACGCGCGCGCGCGCGTGTGTGTGCTGTTTTATTAAACGTACCTTCTGAAGCACTTCTCCAGGCGGTATCTGGTCTCTCGTCATGACCCATGCATTTTGCGCATGAACCGGACCGATGCCTTGGCAGCTCCACAAAACGGCGTACGAGTCATAATCCGTTTCGAGTACCGAGTACTTAGTCTCGGGAGTAAGTGGGATTGTGGTGTACTTGACGTGAAGTTTACCCTCCTCAGCCTTGGACGCTGAAGGCTTGATTTCACCCTCCAGTATCCTCTTTACGCCGGTGCTGCGCAAGATTATTATTATTATTAACGTCAACTATATATTATTAACATTAAGAAAGTTTCGGATACGATGATACGATATGATGAGGTTCGCCGAGGTGTTCGTATCTTTCTCAAAAAAATTTATCCGACGAAAGGCATCGCATGTATACTTACAAGCGATTAGTAACTTGATTGCTCACGCGATATTTCCCGTCGACACCTTTGGTGTAATTCGTCATGACACACCGAGACACCACTTCGCTGAGCTGAAAGTACCTCTCGGCCTCGTACCAAACACCTGCGAACTGTAGAAACGTCGAATCGCGTGATGTATTGAAAAAAAATTGATGATTAATGATCAATGATAAAAAAAATGATTTAAACACTGTTGTGTTTTCATCCAAACAACGTCAATAATATGAACGGCTATCTGACAGGAATATTCTGCGATTTGTGAAAAATGTAGCTTTAGCAAATTTCACTAATAACTAAAAATATTGCCGCGATGTAAAGTATTACGATATGAAGAGTTGAATAAAAATATAAAAAATGAAACGCAATATCGAGAATAAAACGTAATGCCGAAACGTGAAATGAAAAAAAATGTGCGTATAATAAAATACAATGGGATGATTGAATTACTCACTCTTTCCATGTTAAAGTTCGCCATGGGTATGTATTCCGGGCAGAAGCCCAAGTTGGGGATCTGGGCGCTGGCCCAGGCCAGAGCCGAGAGTGCTAGGATGATTTTCGTGAACATGTCTGATGACGATCTGCCTTGGGTTTCCGCCGAGACCGCAACCTTTATATACATTAAGCAGGAGCGTTGACCGAGCGCTCTTACCCCCTCTGTGTTATCCGCGTGTTGGTACTCTTACGGTACTCTCCGTGGCCCGAGAGATCGGCCGAACACACTGTGGTCATTGGTCAATGATGCTCCTACGAATCTCTTGGCAAGTTCACCGGCAACGCGACCAAGAACCAGAAATGCAAGATCCATTATGCAACTTCAAGACGAACGGTACTTCCAGATTGGAGACCCTTGAACGCCGCTTAGAGCAGCGTCTTGCAACACAGCGGAATGCCAATGATATTCGACTTTCGAGTGAAATGTGCAGTTAATAGATTGGAAAAATTCTAATTTTTCATATCTTTAATCGTCTTTTCGGTTCAATTAAAGAGCAAACGCTACGAATGCTAATTGAGAGAAAGTATTTGTTCGAGACTTTTATAAAAATCTACTATTTTGAATTAACTGTCCCTTTTTTAGACAATTGTCTAAAAGTTGTTTTTATTTTTGCATATTAAAACTTTTGGATTTTTATAATTTACATATTATTTTGTAATTTAATTGTATGCCGCGTAGAAATTTCAAAATTTGATGAAGCTACATACCGCACATATAACAATTCTATCAATGAATAAAATTTGCAACATGTTCATATTATTAATATATCATTGTTGAATGTTTAAAGCACTTTTGGATTCATATTATCAAAAGTACGGTTCATATTTGTCATCAATTTCGCTAATATATCGCTCATTTGCTGCAACGCTGACGTAACTCAAAAATCACGATTTTCCAGAAAAAGAGTTTTAATGTTTTAAATTGTTATAACTTTGGTATAAGAACATTTGAAATGCCATATTGTAGTGGGACAAAAGTATTATAATATCGTTCTAGCGCAGTATCGAAATTGCATAACATTAGACAGTTCCAAGCATTCGATCAAAAAACGCACAAAGACGTCGTGCATTGTCTTGCAGTCATTCATAAAGTTTTAATTACCAGTTTTTAGTAACCTGGCCCGCGTGTGAACACGTATTCGCGTTTGATTGATCACGGTGTGATCACACGTGTTCTGCGGAGCGGGAAAAAAACGAAAAGAGCACGTTACTTGTTGCGGTGTAATTATGCAATCGACACCGTCGAGATTGGATGTGCGCGGCGTACGGCACGTCTCGCTGGAACGTAGCCCATTAGTAACGGGTCTCTCGCTGGGGCTTTTCTTTTTATACGAAACCGAACCGTTAGCCAACGTTGCGCCTCTCTTCGGGAATTCTTGGGGATTCTGCGAACGACAAACCGCTATGCGTGTTTTGCGAGAACAGCAATTAGCTCTTCGATTTCGACATTCTACGCTCTTGTTCGGCAGCGAGAGATGAATAGCCTAAAAACGCGATCGAAGCATGTACGACAAACACCATTTCTGACAACATAATTTTAATTATAATTTAAATTATTAATTCTATTAATCACTAATAAAATTATTAACTGTAATTTTCTAGTCTTAAATGATATAAAAACTCTACACGTGCAAATGTAAATTTTTCTTCTACATTTTCATCTCCAAAGAGATGAAACATTTTTATCTCACGAGATAAAATTTATTGTTTTTGTTTTAACACATTCTAAATTGATAAAATATTTTTTAATTTCATAAAAAAAAATTAAAAGTTTCAATAAGCAATACTTTGTGAAATAATTTGAGATAATTTATCTTCTTTGAATATTTACTTTATTAAAATTATTAAGATAAAATTGATCTATTTCAATTCGAAAATGCAATTTTGCTATAAATTTTCATGTACAAATCTCGCTCGTTTGGTGGACTTTAATAAGCCATAATAGATTCTGAAGGAATGGGAGAAGAAAATCGACACTACGTATTAGTTCGATTACGCTCGCATCCTTTTTATCTCTTCGTACACAGTTTTTCCAGTTGAATTAATTTATTTCTCGTAAACCTATGAACACTAAGAAAGCACACGGGGCTCGCGCCTCGCTTGGAAGATACTTAAAATCTACAGTTTCACCCGGATGTCCAGATGAGGAAGAGAAGATGCTGTTTTTCGTTGACGAAAGACAATGGTCGTGAAGAATCAACGCTCCCGTTTATATCTACAAAATTATACCAATTATTATTCTTTACGCTTCTTAAATCTATTTTTACCGCGCAATGCATAATCCAATATCATGTAATTTAATTTATTATTCATTCTGATATCCAAAGAGCTTCTGCGTCTCGAGAACTCTGCTACATTGAATAACGTTGTCGCGAAAGTATCGTCTTCTTCCATTCCTTGTTTATTCGGTCGATCGAAAGCGAAATTCGAGATCTTTTTATTTCCTTTTCTTCTTTCCACGCCGGATACGTCGACGCGGTCTCGAGAGGGACATCCAGGGTGCGCGTGCGCGTTATAAACATAATCAATTAACAATAAAATAATCTGTAATGCGTTATCCTAGTGCGTTTACAGCTCGAGAAGAGGAGACGATTGAAGTCGGGAGTGTATGACAGGGGGCGAGTGGGGGGAGGTGGGGGAAGGGAGGGGGGTTTAAATGAAAATGGTGACAAAGCTGGTTGCTTAAATTATTCTAGGCGACTCGCAAGATCATTCTCCGTCGGTTTTCTCTCGCCTTCGCGATTGCAAGATTCTCACTGGTCACATCGAGAGCCGCGAGTCACGCCCGTATAATGAACGCCGCGACGCATCGCACGCTAAACAATAATTACTCTTTAGCATTATTATCATTTAGTATCACATTACGTTCACTGTTTTGTGCTGGCCGTATTTTGCCTGGCTTCGCGAAAGCGCACACCATCCCCCCGACCTCCCCTTCTGCTCCGCTCCTGTACATTTACTCGTTGCGGGATGACTGCGGAAAGTGAGGGAGAGAAAAGATTTGTACTAATCGATTTGTCTTCATTTCGAGTGATCACGATTGCGAGGGACGAGCAGAAACACGAGAGTATTGACGAAGCAGGAATATCGATCAATTGTGTTTTCGTTTCTCTTTTCTACATGTAACGCTTTATTTAGCAGTGTTCACGGAACACTTTTTTTTTTAGACAAAAGCAAACTGTAAAATAATTCGTTTAAATTCTTATTTATACGATTCTTTTATTAAATGTATTACTTGAATTCTACAGATTCAGATAATAAATTAATCTGTAATTGATGTGCATTAATTACAAATTTTTTACATTCTCTCTCTTTTTTTATTTCTTTTCCATTGTAATCGATAAAACACACGAATGTATAATAAAATAATACGTAACAATTATATTTTCCAAGCATAGTTGCTGGTTAAAATTCATGCGCAAAAATTGTGTTGTCCGAAGTCCGACATTTGTTGGTTCAAAAATTAAAATTTTATTTGTTATTTGATGAAATTTATTTCACAATTTTTGTGAAAAGATCTTTGGTGCGAACATATCGAAGTTACACTTCGTTAGAGGATCCATATAATTTCTTAATTTGTACAGTTGTTTACAATTATAATTCGACTAATTGTAGACATAGCAATTGTCAATATTAAAATAATTTTTATATTTCTATTAACTTTGTATATATGGAATGTGTGCATTCACTAAAAGGAATAAGCTGTGTCGAAAGTGTTTCGCTCGTAAATCGTCAAATTCGTAAGGGTTTCGTGTTTTCTCCTCGCTTAAGGTCGCTTTCAAACGTCGATCAGACAATTTGTACAATTAACGGAGCAAAAAGGAGATCGAGGCCCATCTTCACAAGGCACCTTAGGTAATAATGCCTATCTAGAGAAGAAGAAAAAAAACATGACGTCCTGCGTCAAACAAAGATGAAATTAGAGAAAAAGAAAGCTACTACTTACAACGATCTAACTAGCCTTAATGCGAAAGTTGAATTAATTTGAATGAATCTTAAGACTCTCTACGTGAATTCGTTAATTCGTTCGTCCATTTCCTAAGCGAGCTCATATCGTCGTCTTAAACGCTTATGTCTCTTAAGCCTATGAACACATGAAATCACTGCCCAATCGACCAATTTGGACCCATTTGACAAGGCACTCGAGTCGCTGAGTTATACTGAAGGGTACATCGTGAATGTGGGATGTCAAGACGAGGGTCAGGGACGAAGAGGAAAAGGCGGCAATGTGGAAGACGGGATTTTAGAAGACAGTACATTAACAACGTCGACATTCGCTACAATAAATCGCATCAACAATTTATAAATATTTCGTAACCGCGTCTTCCGCAATCGATTTCGCCGATAATAATGCTCCCTTCCGTCGTGCTTAACGTTTCGATATATCGCTTCTTTTCGTTTTTTTTTTTTTTAGCATTTCGATCGAGTACTTCCGTGTTCGCGATCGAAACCGTGCAGTTTTAACTGCGAGCAGTTAGTACGAGGCGATTGGCGGGCAGGACACCTAAGATCTACCTAAGACAGAAATCGGTGGAAAGTTGATTGGTCCCATTGCAATAGTGTGAAATAAATAAATTCTAGTCCGTCCGCACGTTCCTATTTAACATTATTTACATATATCGTGAGATTAGTCGCACGCGCTGAGGTAAACGGGACGTCTTGCCGGATGCCACGTGCGGCGATTAAAATTAAAATAACAACAAAACAAGACGCAACAAGGGGGCTGCGCTTCACCATTCACAAGCTCGTCCGGATCGGTGGCAATAATTGACTGTTCGTTCACTTATCGTCCTTGTACTTTTCTCAGATTGTGTCCGACGATCGTATTCGACGTATACATTAACAAAGGCGTCTTATCAAACTTATTGCTTATGCGTAACAATAAGATACTTTCTGAAGAGAAAAGTCGCAACACTGCGACTTTAGTATCGAGAAGGTTCTCACGAAATCGATTCTTTTTCTTTTTCTTATTTTTTACAAAGGCGCTTCTCCGGTGCTGCGTGCCGTTCGTCTTCGAAGAAAACTCACGGAGATTTCCGATCGACGTCTTCGATCGACATCTTGTTTCAGAATGTAAATTAATCTCTGAAACCAAAGAATGTATTTCTTCGCAAGATAACGGCAGCTTCGCGTGCCTCAGGTATATTATTTCTTGAAAACGGAAACTTTTGCAACTTTTAGGTACAATAAACAACAGTAAATGGAGCGTGATGAATAAATTACAATATTTGGAAATACATTCTGTTTGGATCGTATGTGAATAAATAAACTTTTGCATATCACACAGAATCACGTTTACTCTTGTTTTGCTTCCAACTGTATTTGCTGAAAACACACGTAATATTCAGACCAAAATATTAAAATTTCAAAGCTTTTCGAAAACTATCGCAAATGGAGAAATAGAAAACTATCGCAAATAGAGAAATAGAAAACTATCGCAAATAGAGAAATAGAAAACTATCGCAAATAGAGAAATATACGCATAACTGCATGAGATATTCAAAATTGTCATGCAAAAAATCCTTTCGACAATATAACGAAATGCTTTGAAGAAGCATCGACAGAATTCTGTTTGGATGTTAGAATCTCATTTTTCCTTTTAACGTGTATCTATACATGTATATATAGTGCCAATGCGTGCACACAATAAATATATAATTAAAATATATTTTATATTTAATATATAAAAAATAAATAAAGATATATATTTTTTTTTGTACATGTCATACGTGTCAAAAGTGAAAATCTTTCGCATGATAATTTTAAATATCACTCCGCAGAAGGATCTTTCAAAATGGTCTGAATAGAAGTTGAGTATCTCGACCGCGCCGTTTTAATGAAATCCTACGGGCATCGAAATGTTGCTCGAAGGACTCGTCATCATGTCGTCGCGCTCGAGGAATACTCTTCAGCACCGGACGGCCTTTGACCGTGTCGCTATTCGTGGTTGAATTCGCGGTGTATATTCTTGCTGAGCAGCAGATTGTTGTGCGGTCCCGAGAGATGCCTGATGAGGTCCTGCAGATTAACGAAGTTCGTCGACGAACAGAAACAACACGAGAACGTATTATCGGGGCCGGCTATCACGCTCCGGTGCACCGAGCAGAGGTGTTTCAATAAGTGAGCCTTCTGCTTGAACATGGCGACGCAGAGTCTGCACGCGAACGGCTTTTCGCCGGTGTGCACTCTCAAGTGTGTCTTCAGGTTCCACGACATGCCGAATTGCTTGCCGCAGTAGCTACACCGATACTCCCGCACCGGAGTGGACCTGGGCGAGTCGTCCGTAGGCGGCAACGGCTGCGAGGCTCTCGCGGGTTGCATCAGACCCCAGCGGTTCCAGTGCGGCTCCAAAGCCGCCGCCGACGCTGGATCGGCGCTCTGCGGGCGATGCGACGGCGGTGTCACCGACCTGTCCTGCTATATATTAATAACGGCTTACGATCAGCGATCAAGAAACGGCGCAGCAATGTGCATAAGCAGTGACTATAAAATCGCGAACCATTAAAATGATATTCTTCTGACTTTTGTATTTGAAAAACAAACTGCAACAATTTAGTGGCGAAACTTGCGTGAGCAGACGCTCGAACAAAATTAGAAAGCTCATTGGTTGCGCAATATTTATCGAAGATTCGATTGTATTGGTCAATATTTTTGAGATATATTGGAAATAAGTGTCGAACGGGGCGTACCAGATACGGTGGTGCCGATACGCTGAGGGGATGCGGCGCCTGCAACCGCCTGGGCGTCTCGAATCCAGGATTGAAGGGTACGAAGGCCGGATTTTGCGCGGGGGCGTTGTGGAAGCCCGGTCTTCGCTTTCGATGAGGCGTCACGACGTACGCCTCCGCAGGTGGGATGGGCATTTCCTCCGGTTTCCTTTTCCCGGGTTCCAAACCCAGCGCCAGCCGTGCCGCCAACTGCCTCTTCCTCTCTTCGGCCTCCTCGAGAGATTCTCGCCTTTCGAATATCTGCTTTTCAGACCTGCGACGATCAAACCGGGCGTTCTGAAGATGCTTTCTAATCCGTTTCATCAGATGTGACTCATAAAATGACTAAACAGCTAGCGATAGAGCAGCGATTGTATGACGTATGAAGGGCAACGTGTAGAGCATAACCTAACCTTTGTATTACGTCGTATGAGCTGTCGCTCGTGACGGACGCGCCGGAATTGAGACTCAGATTAACCGGGTCGGAGCTATCCCTTCTTCTAGGCGGTTCTATGCTGCCTTCCCTGTCCGTAACTTGACTTTCGCCCTCCATGCCTTCGACATCCACATCTACTTCCGGCTCTGGCTCCTGCTCCTCCGCCTCCTGCTCCTCTTCGCAGCCCTCCTCAGTTTTAATGAGAACTGAGCAGCAGTCCGCGGGATTATTGGATTGCCTGATGAATATGATACTTTTAAAATATTTTGTCAGGAATATTATGTTGGCAGGATTGTGTGGATATTACGTTGCTGTAAAATTAAAATTAAGAGAATTATTATTGAGTTTTATCTTTTGATGCGTAACATCTCGCGTTCTTTCGCTGTAAAACGACTAATATTTGTTCGTGCTCCCAATAAAAAAAATATATACATTGCCAGTCAAAAGTTTTTAGACAAAGCATACAGTTGAATTTATTATAATTTTATTTAATCCACGCAACCACATTTAAAATAAACATTTTCAAGAATGTATTAACGTATATCTTCATTCAAGGATTTACGGAAATAGAATGTAAAAAAAAAATAATTATGGAAAAAATACTTATTGTTTAAAAACTTTTGATTGGCAGTGTATATATAAAAATATATCGAACTAATGTAAGTAAAATTCTATATAATAATTAAATCAAATGTAAAAATGTTTTAGAAAACTTTAAAGAACCGTCGCAATTGTTTCTTAATTTCTAATCTCTCGGATTAGTCATTCGCGTCCTGATATTTTTTCTCATCCTTTTTTTATTTCCTTATTAATATCGTACATTCAGAATTCTCTCTGTTGAGAGATCGATGTACATTAGATTCTACTCGGACCGTTAATTGAAAAATTAGAAATGTAAAAATCGAGACGATTCTTCAAAGCCTAATTTCTATATTTGATAAAAAAAAATATATATATATATTTGTTTTGTATCAACCTGCTGTCGTATTGAGACTCATAACTGCAGCTTTCCTGGCCTTCGGAGGGCTGCGGAGTCGACACTCTCTCGGAGTCAGAATTACTAGAAGTTTGAGGTTGATTGGGCTCAAACAGCCCCGACTTAATTTGAAGAAGCTCGAAGAGCTCCCTCAACGGCGTGAGCTCTGACGACTGAACGGAAGAAAATTCTGTTGTTAAGACTTGGCAGTTACGTTTTTTTTCCTTAAAAGATCTCTATTGTGCTCCAAAATCCGTACCGGTATGAGCGCCTGTCCGTTGTACAGAAACTCCAACAAATGATTCAGTTGAGTCTTTCGGACGCCAGACAAATGAACTACGTGGTCCAGTGCGGGATTCCGAAGTAGACTAGCTAAAAGAGGACTGGCCGCTGCTAATACGACGCGGTGGGCCTTCACGACGGACCCATCATCGCATGCCAGGGTCACGTCCACGTGACGGTCCCCGCTGTACCAGGCCCCGACCTCCGCGGCCAAGGTCGCTGGATGCTTCCCATAGTGAAGCGTCAGGAGACCGTCAGTATACATCGTCTAAAATAAAAATAAAAAATGTTAACGCTCTTCATTTGCCTTGAAGATTGCATGTTTATATGCATGAATCTAACACTTGAATCGAATCAACATTCGAAGAAGCAAAAAAACGACAATGACGTCTCAGTTGATTTGATAAAAATTTCGTGTTACACTTTTTTTTTTAATTATTCAACTGGTATTACATAAGATATTACGTTATTCTAATTTACGATTAAATTATAAAATTTTAAAAATCTAAAAATTTATATATTTCTAATCAAATTTCAAGAAGAGATTTGCTAAAAGATTGGCAAATAAAATGTGTAGTAGCAATCCTAGTGCATTTTATATTTCTATTGTAGATTAGAAGATAATAGCAGTTAGAAACTTTAAAAAAATGAGATCATGGTTATAAGGGAAATTGTGTGAAAAAAGAATTTGTCCCGCGTCCTTAACCCAATAAGTAATCTTGTCGCCTTGCGTGTTGCAAAGGCAGCTTCGTTACATTAATTTCCTCCTTTCGTGTCTTAGCTCTTTCAAAAACGGCGGAAAAGATACTGATGTGTCACAAGATCGTGTTTCTCACGTTTCTCTTATATCTGCGCAGCTCTCGGTTGACCATGTCAAACGTGTTTAACGGTGCGGTATGTCAATTATCCAGTTAGTCTAAACTCCTCACGCATTTACTTCACCTTCGAACGCGTATATTTAACTGCATCCGATTTGATTATCAGTTTACAAGAATTCCATTAATACAGAATTATTTTTTTAGCTTATAAAAATCAAAGAGATAAATATTTCACACAACATTAATCTAATCGATATAATCCGGTTTTTAACAAATCGACCGATAATTATGGTAATAAATGCATCGAGTAAAAATGTTCGAGTATCTTCACATATAATAAATATAATTAACTTAACTAATAATTATAATTATTACATATATGATGAATCAAACTTAAAATTTAATTATGTAATCGAGATTCTAAAAGTCTAAGAATTTATTAATTTATCTTGTATAAGAAATTTTTCTAATCTTGTTAATATAAAAGAAACTGCAAGATAACATCTTATTCGTTAATTATAAGTGTCGACTAATCGTACATAATTCGCTCATGATTAGCTGTTATCTCGAGGGAACAATTGTTATTACAACATAATCTTATAACAGCAATCGTTGAAAAAACATTTCACTAATATATCGATATCGATCACACAAGAAATATCTCATTCATGCGTGTCTAAGATTTGCAACAGTTTAAAGCGGCCACGGCTAAGAATTGAGAATTAACGGCTGATCGAGCATTCCTTCAGTTTCTCAAGGGAAGTCGCGAGAGAGAAAGTCCGGTTTCACGTTATGTTTTCAAGAAGCAGAAGTATAACTAATATTATGAAATCAATGCCGTAAATGTCTACGAATTCCGCAATGTCAAACGTATTTTAGCGTTTGTTTCAAACTGGAAATAATCAACCGGTTACTCTCGGAAACTTTCATTCTTGTGACATTTTCGGGAAGAGAGCGCAAAAATAATATACTTACATCGTATTTCATTAATTCGCATGTAAATAAACTAAATGTCTTTTTAATACATGCGCGAACTTATGATCAGTTTATAAAAACTTAATTCTGCATTACTATTTATATGACAGGCAATAATTATGCGAACGTGCAATTCAGTATCGCAGAACGATAAAGTAATGACGCGTAATAAGACGATCTCCTGATCTAAGAACACCTCACATTCGCTGTCATGACCTTCAATTGATAGTCCGGACGAATTCGAAAGGGAAGACCTTGGGTAAAAGTCACGAAGAAGGTGCCGAAACCGTCGCGGAATTTTAAATCGCCGAAAGTAGCGACGAACTCGACATTTCGTTACGAAGTCATTGCTAGGCTACTGTTTATACATTCTCTTAGATAACATCTCATCGCGGAATGAATTCCTTTCATATTAGACGTCACGAAGCGTCGCGGTTACATAACTGGGAAATTTACATCCGCTTAGTATCCGCACTTGCATAAGAAAATCATTTCGCTGTTATGAAGCCTCGTGTGAGATAAATCAACAACAAAGAACGGCATGGCTTCACGTTAACATTCATAGCTTTATCAATATTTTATGAAGCTGGCGCGGTAAATAAGAAGCAAAAAATTGATAGGGGAAAAAAAAATAAGAAAAAAAATTGTTTTCTTTCTACTTCGCATTTAAAATTAATAAAAGACATCAATTTTCAAACATTATTTTTCTTACGTCTCATTCAGATATATCATAACGATAATTATCAGCGAAGGCGGAAGGAGCGATTCAAAGTAATTTTAAAGGAAAAAGAAAAAAAAACACGAGTTCTCTGGTTAAAGATGCGGCGCGTAACTATCATAGACTCATAGGAATAGACTACGCGAGTGACGCTCCATTGAAGGACAGAAATAGTTTGTCAATCGTGCTCTCTCTCTTTTTCTCTCTCGCACATCACAAGAGTGGGGAGAAGACGACTGGCGAGGTGACCAACTAAAAATGTAAACTGTTTTATCTCATCATAGGTGTATAAACGCCGCTTACCAACCGATCTATTAGAAAGAGACGGAACAATTTGCACTATTGCTCTCTGTTTCTAACGTCGGTGTCAGCTCCTCTCGCGGGACGCGCAGTGTATTTCTATAAGTCCTACGGGCGGTCGTACACACTCGCTCGCGTGCGTGATGTCTGCGTGATATCGAGAAAATTGCTAAATAAGGAAATCGTTGCTGGTCAGCGCGGATCCGCGTTGCTACCGCCGCCGCTACTGGTAATGCTAGTATAAGCACCGACTGAAGTTCAGGGTCAATCGCCGTGCGGACCGAGCGGCCGGCCGGCCGGCCGGCCGGATTACGTTCGCGCTTACGCGCTCACGTTCTTCTTTCTTCTATTTGGGCCTTGAGGAGTTGCCGGGCAGGGTCTTGTGCCCGCGCGTTGCACCGCGGACGTAACAAATGACCGGACGGTTATCCGCGCTGTTATCCGGGCGGATCGAAGCCGCGGGACACGAGAGAGGAGAATGAACATTTCGTATATTTTACGCTTCGCAGCGCCATTGCTCGAGCATAGCTACGTGCAGGTGAGATATTTTTTCTTTCGCCAGAGATGAATTTCTAAGGTCTTGGAAAAGGTCTGCCCGGCATGAGCGACAATAAGTGTCGCACAAGTCCGTCGCGTTTCTCCGTTTCTCGGATTCACCGACAAAATGTCGGGATGAGCATCGAGATAAGGTGGCCGGTTGAACATGGATTAGCATAGCCAATCCAGCTCGGTACTATTCCTTTTTCTTTTTCTTCCTCACCGCCCTTGTCTAGCTTAAGAATAAGACGACGAGCCCTCTTCACCATTTCGTCCAATCGACTGTCACTAGCGTTACTTGGTGGGGACCAAGTCTTGCGCCGCAATACGCATGCGACGTCCATGCTATTCGGAGCGGGCGCTTTTACCGGCGAAGCCGCGCCTCGTTCTCTGCGTGTGCTGTGCTGTGCTGTGCTCTGCTGCGCCGAGAACAAAACCGCCTCCAAATGGAGTATACCTGATACACGGTGTCGGTAAAATATCGTCGAGTAACGCGCGCCATAACGTCGGCTGATACGAAAAACTTCAATACATGATACTTTGGATATGAAATTTCAGGATATGAGATTTTAACAGATTGCAAAACGTATAAAAGCGTTCAACGATGAAGCGAGTTTTAATTTCTCTATTGATTTATTTCAGTAATTTATACTGTTGATAATTGCTATATATTTTTTATGAAATTGAAAATTAGAAAGCTAAGAAAGAGTGATCAATTTCATTAAAATAAAAAATTTTAATTAAATTTAGAAAAAGTATTGTTGATCAAATGCCAATTAAAGATAAAAATTAGACCGCTTTTGATGTAATTTTTTAAAATTTAGATCACAATTTTCGATGATAATTAATCATTTCTTAATTCCATTTTTTGTAGCGTAAAACTGATATATTGTGAAACAATTTGAAATTGAATTTATAATCCATTGTCAATGACGAAAAGAAAAAAAAAAAAAAGTATAGCAACATAAAACTGGCGCGAATGGTTCCTGACGAGTCGGGATTTCAGATAAGAAGAGAAAGTCGATGAATTCGTAAATTCTACCACGCGAATCGACCGTCGTTCATTTATCGGACCTATATATGTATAGGCATGCATACGTCCTCGTTGCACACACACGTGTGTTGGTGTACTTTCGTCTCGTGGCACCGATGCACGCGCGTGCACACGCGCACAGGCGCGCGAGGCGACGATGCGCGATACCACATACACGCGAGCATTATAATCTCCTATCCGGATGGCGGACGTTACGATCTACCATTGAATCGAACAATGGCGAAACTGGGTTACGCAAATGTCGAGGCTGGAAATTAAACCGCGAGACACCGGGGTTCAGCGGGAGAGGGAGACTTCGCGCGTCGCGACCGAGCGATGAAAAAGACCGCGCGCTGTTGAAAAACACACGGTTAATCGTAGGAAACGAGCGGTTCGTTAAACTCGCTTGCATAAGACAAGTTTGCAAAATTTTGCGAATAAAGCGGCTCGGCGCTAGATTTTACCAATAAATTCTTTGTAAAATTTATTTTTCTAGCTAAAAAAACTGTAAAAATTCCACTAAATTGGTTTAAAGAAATTAATTCAACTCAAAAAATTCAGAGGAAAAAGCAACGTTAACGGTATCTTCTTCTTTTCTCCGTCGACGTCGCATCGCTTTGTCGATATCGCTTCGATATCATTCCAATGTTCAATATTTTTTTTATTATTCAGACATCACGGTTTTGCACGGCGGCAAAAAAAAAATACGAATCGCGACAGCGCTGATTAAGGTGAGGCGGCTGAAACCGCGCGAGCCGAGCGGCGGGAATTGAGCAACGCGGAGAGAGAACTCGTTACGGGGACCTGTAATGGGGCCCAGGCGTTTCCGCTCCATTTTTTTGTGGGCCCAATTACGTTTTGCCAGTCTGGATAGGTTATGTTTCGTGGTCTCATTGTGCCGCACTCGTATATGCTCGCTTACTCGCACCGGGTCATCGGTATCCACTCGTTTGGAACACTGAGCAATATCCCATGGCGAAGTGGTGCCGCACCGCAGAGAGCAGTTATGCTTGTTACCGGCGCGAAGCTTTTCGAAGAGATCAGCGGCATCGATCTTTTACGATACATTAAGCGAGGACAAGCGGTTCGAGAAACGCTACGTGCTTCCTCTTGTGAAGGTACTTTTAGCGCCGAAGAAAGGCGTGAAAACATTTCAAATTGATGATTGAACAATAGAGATTGCACTTCCCCTTCATTTACACATCGGAGTCTGATTGTTTCGTCTTTCGTAAAAGATGTTATAACTTTTTCGAAAACAAAAGAGCATACATATATCATTATGCAACATACCAAAAAATCCGTATCTAAAACTACTGATAAAGTAGTTCAAATTAGACAAAAATTTGAAAAATTGTATTAATCATTGAGATTTTTTTCCTAGTAATATTATTCTTCACTTTTACGCGACTTAATTTACCGAATTTAATTTGCCGTCGCGCAGCGCACGTCAGCGAAACGCTGGCAAAAACCGCCCGCGCCTATTTTCGATGCGGACTAGTTTTTATTCGAATCGCGAACACTCTCTTGATGAGAGATCGCGTTCTACGTTTCCGTCGTCCAAGAATAGCTTCGTGGTTCGCTGACTTCCCGTACCGCGGCCGCACATTGTATTTCTCGTCTCTGAAACGAAAACCTGCCCGCGCGGCGGCAGGGTTGTGACACCCCGTGAAACCGTGCGGTGACTCACACCTTTCCTCGATTTCGAATTGCCATTTTCCACCTGGTCTCTCACGCTCTCCCTCTTGCGCATCGCTCCGTCGACTGTAACGTTGCTCTCTCCGACATCCTCTCCTCCTCTTCTTCCTCGTTTCTAAAAGGTTTCCCGTCCGTTTTGCCCTTTCGCAACTTGGCGAGCACCGGCTGAACGAACGGCGCGCGTTACCGTCCGGAAAAAGAATTGACCCGCGAGCGTGTCTTTAACCGGAAGTACGTGTTCGTGCGATCTCTTCAATTTCACCGTGAATCCTCCTTCCCGACGTTATTGAAGAAACAGAAGTAACAAAGGAGCTAACGAGTTCCATTTGCTTGAACGATGCAAATGCCTGTCGATTGTACATCGCGATCTGCGACTCGTTCTCAATCATTACGATAGTTGAACGGTGTAACGTTTGGATAAGACCGACGGGGGAAGATATAGAGCCACGGTTACACGGAAAAAACAGATATTCTTATTTTAAAAATATCTTTATTTTTAACATGAAAATCTTGAAATGAGATTATATTGCTTTAAACGAAGCAAACTGGCTTGAGTGAAGTCATTTTATATAGTTCAACCAAGAAAAAAATATTCTTATTATTTAAGAATAATTTTCTTGAATGGAAAAGACAAAATGTTGGATAAAAAATAACATATTTTTCAAATAAAAGATTATAATTTTCTTAGAGTAAAATTAAATATTGTATTCTTCAAGTGATCATTATAAAATGGAAATATGACTATAGTATTGTTAAGATTTAAGATTATTAAATTCTCATCGGAAGATTATAAATTGTTGCGTATATACGAAACAATGAACGCGTTAATTTGAGTATTTAAGCTTTGATTTGACACTACTTTTTTTCCGTGTATGCTCCCGTGTTATTTCAGCCATTAACTTCGGATACAATAACATGTAAAAATTATTCTTAATGAATTAATAGAATAATGAATAATTATAATCTATTTTGTTTCATAAGCTCATGTTATATGTTAAAATATATATGTATATATACATATTATGCATATATTAAAATTATGTATAATTGTTATTTTCAGAATTAGTGGCGCAGGACAACACGACATTGGTGTTTCCTCAAGATGTAGTTATCGATAATGACGCTCGAAAAGTATACGTACTTTCTAACAATTTGCAAAATTCCTAACTGGCCGCTTCAATTCGTCTGA